TTTTTCCCCCCCCCCCCCCCCACCTACTCTAACAAAATACAATAACCCACTAACCATTTTCCCAAAAGATCAGAAAGGAAAGGAAATTAAAACAAAAGTAAGGTTATGGAGCCATCAAGGCTTGACTAAACTCTTTTGAAATGAGCAAGACCCAGAGATTTCATGGCTGCAGCTTAATTAGACTCTAAGCAGATAGATACTGAGTTCGGGAGTTCCATTGCTATCTGGGTTCATCATGTAGAAAGCTTCAGAATCTCTAGAACCCACAATTCTCTCAAATTTGGCTCTCATGTACATGATCTCATTATCAGAACCGGTTTCAGATTCAGGCGACTCAGCTCCAGCCGATTCGGTTTCAGCTTCATAGTTTCCTGGCAGAACACCAGCACCCATCGAAATTGGCTCCACAGCCTTGAGGATTTTCATCTCCTTAGCCCCACAATCCTTCCTCGTAGCAAAACCGCTCTTCTTCCCATTGCAAAATGTCCTCCACAGCGGCTCTTCTAGAAGTCTCACAGCTTTTTTCCCCCCTTCTTTCTCTTTATCACATTCCAATGCAATTCGGACTAATCCAGACGCCATTTCTTTTACCAAGCCACTAATAGGCGTCGCAAGCTCTACCAAGAAGGCAGGTTCGGAGCTGGGGTCTCTTTGGAATGCAAAGTGCACATGCCCACGCCGAGATCCGAAAAGGGTTCCGACGACCCGAGAACCCAGACCCGGTGAAAGGGTAGACCGATTTTTGGCAAAAACTGTGAGAACCGAACGCAACCGAGCAACTGCAACGGCCGGCATCTTCCTTCTTTGTACTTGGGCTGCGGGATGCGGTGGCTGCGGCTCTGGAGAGACGACTCTGTTTTTCTTCTTCATCTCTTCCAGCTCGGCGGCCACGGAGGTAGGTTTGAGGGTTGGAAGTGGGTATTGGTCATCTTCTTCTTCACTTCCCACCTTCTGGGTCCAGTGGAAGTGTCTTCTGGAGGAGGAGGAATCCATAAGCGTCTTCATATGAAAGCAAAGGAAGAGAGCAGGACAGTTCCTTAAAATATTTCAGAAGAGACCGAGTGAGAATATAAAAGAATGAGAGAGATTCTGGGGTCTTCCCTTTAGTTTGGTATGTGGGGGCAGTACTCAAAATTCTTTATTTTCTAGGCAGCGCAAGAGAATCCTGACAAAAGAAACACACACTGGCCCACCAGCTGATATATGAAATATGAAGAGAGAGGTATAGAGGGACATGAAAAATGGAAAAGAAGGGAATCTGAGGAGACAAAGTGAGTGTTCTTTCACTTTCTTGTAGGGAGAGAGAGAGAGGGAGAGAGGGAGCGAGAGAGTGGGGATTGGGAGGGATTTTGATTGACCGACCCTTTTTACATTTTGACCCAAATCTCAAAGGAGTAAAACTTATGGGAGGCGGGGATGGAGACCCTACAAAAGAGTGGAGACAACACTGTTCGCAATGAACATTGGTCGGAAAATGTAACCTCTGAGAAATTCTGAGCTGTCTTAGGGAGATGCGAAGTATCATAGGAGATGACGTAAGGCTTATCTCTGGAGTTACTGAAATCTCATGGCCTTTGCTGGTTGTGGAGTAGACATTGTACCAACTTCTAGTTTAATGAGCCATAACGATGAATGAGGAGGGAAACTCTACATTTGTTGGGGAAAAAAATATTAGCGTATTTCATATGGCCTACTACTAAACATAAATTAATCCTAGTCGCCAATCGCCTTGAGCTGGCATTACGCCATAGCTCGACCACAGCATCTATGGATCAAAATCTGGTTTTGGTACCGCTGGCTATAGGTATCTATAAGAAGTTGGTGATTTGTTTGGAGTAACTGTTAGAATGCAGGTGGTGAAGTTATTCTACTGTAACTACTTACACTCATGTCTTCATAAAGCTGGGAAAGAGACAAAAGCAAGAAAGTAAAAACTTGAGCAAAAATGTACGCCAATGAGTTGTAAACTCCCATACCCTTTTTTATTTCAACTTTGACCCACCGATGATGAATGAGAACTCGTTGTAATGATGTAGTTGGATCTCAACCGGAGGGTGTAACTCGAGCCCAATCAGCGGAAGATCTGAGAAATGCACAAATCAAGAGCAGATCAGGCAGTTTAAAAGGCAAAAGAATAAGCCTAAAAAAGACTACTGAATGTATAAGTTAGGCAGAGAAATGCACAAATCAAGAGCAGATCAGGCAGTTTAAAAGGCAAAAGAATAAGCCTAAAAAAGACTACTGAATGTATAAGTTAATCCAAAATAATGATTGTATACAAAACATTTCAGGAGGAAAACGTACAAGTTCAGAAACTGGAAACTGATATCGTTCAGATATTAGTGTTTGCACTCTGTTAAACACCTTCAGTTAATTCTCTTAAACTTGGATCAAGCTCTGGGTGTCTAGTACTAGAAGCAGGGGCTCCACCGATTACAGTTGCATGTGCCTCTGCGAACATTCTCTGCAGCTCAGGCAATGCTTCTTCCTCGGTCCACACAACTGCAATACTGCATTGCTCCGCTTCCCTCTCAAAGAACCCCGTTGGAGAAAATTCAAAATTCAAAATCAATAATTGAATGATTTGTAAAAATTATGGAGGTAGTTTCATTAGATAACTCGAAAATTGTCGGAAAATAGTTTCATATATTTCTTAAAGCATTATTTAATAACTGGGATGGATGAGTAGTGACTAATACTATCAAAACACTACGCACGAGTTTGTAATTGTGATAACAATTACTTATCTTTGAATGAAAAATAACTCAATTGTGAGAATTAATAGTAGAAAATTTTAGTTTCAAAAAGCAGACATCCAAATATGTTTTTATGCGACTTTTATTCCGGAACACACAAAACAATTTTGAAAATAGTTTCCAAACAATGCCTAAGTAATTCCAATTGAAAATAGTTCCCAATCCCTATGCAGTTTTTCTACAAGATATGTTCACTATTAAAAACTTGACTTCCTTTTCTAAGGTTTGGCGGTATTGGCATGGAATAGAAGAGGATCCTAAGAGGGGAGCAGAACGTCTGCGAACATTGAATGGATGGGTCAGCACGGTCACCAGAGGCAGATATTGACAAAATAGTTAGAACAATAAAAAAAGAAAAAGAAAAAAAAAAAAAATATTACCATAGGTTTGAAACTGTACTCAGACGCAGCAACCTTGCTGAACGTAGCAGGTAAAGCCAACCATTTAATCATAGAGCAAGTCTCACATTTAGTAGAAGATGTTCGCGTGATGGCCATTACTAGTTTCCCTCCAAGTGATCAGATTCAAGCCTGATGCTGGTAAGTTTGAAAGAGCACAATGAGATGAGGGAAAAATCAAAAAGGGCGACTCAGATTCACACTATGTCGCATTTTATTTTATTTTTTTTTGTTAAATTTGTCCAATCTGTTAAAGAAATTCAAGCAGTGTCGATCATTCTAAAAACACTCCTCATCGGATAAGAAATACAAAAGTTCATCGTTAGATACTCTTTATTGAAGTACTTCCAACAACAACAATAATTAAGTCCTCAAACAACAAAATTCTGTAGTAAAATTCATGATGAACCACCAACTTCTTTGTTTTCTACTTTCAGCTTTTTATAACTAAAGAATCTTAGTTTCCCGTTTCTAGACTTGGTATAAACATGCCAGTCAGTCCCAGCCTAAACTACCTTGTGAAATTAAATATAAACAGCCATCCATCACATTGTTTTTACCCATGATTTTAAATGCATGTTTTGGCATTGAAAAATCACATCATGCATGTGATAATGTTTCTATTTCAATAGAAAACTAGGGTTGTTACATCAACTTGGTCTGTTTTGCCCATACATATCATATTGGAAATTAGCATAAGTTGGTTAGCGCAACTCTATTAAAGATAGCTAAAAATATATATTTCTAAATAAAAAAAAGGTGCAATTGAACAAATACAATATCCATAAATATTCTTAACATTATTTGATTCAAACAAGTCAAGTCAACTTTTTTATATATACCCGAGAAACAACCTCCTATATATAACACACCTTATTAGTTATGGTACGCACGATCCTATTGTATATATTTAGATAAATAAAATTAGAAAATTAATAACCGTATACTAATTCTATTGTGCTATATAAATGAGACAAAACCAAATCAGACAAAACCAAATTGGGTTGTAAAAAGAAAAGTGAGCAAGCAAAATGATGTCTCAAACCATCTTTTGTTTCATCATTTTGCTTGCTTTTGAATCAAACATGATTATTAACTCATGTTTTGCACAATCGGATTCCAGTTTGATTGACCAATTTTCTAACTGGGAAGTGGATATTGTGAACGACCTGAAGGATTCTACTTTGGTAGTTCATTGCAAGTCGAAAGACGACGATTTAGGCGAGCATGTGATCAAGGCTGGAGACAAATATTTTTGGAAGTTCCATGAAAACGTGTTGCAAACAACACTATATTGGTGCAATTTTAGCAGCAAACGTGGGCAGGCTTCTGGTCAAGTGTTTTGGCCAGAGAAAAGCCACTGGCTTAGTGATCGATGTAATCGTAATACCTGCATTTGGGTTGCAAAAGACGATGGCATTTCTATACGTCTTGGTGCTTTCGGTTTATATGAATTAGTGTACCCTTGGAAATGAGGATTGGAAATGAGGAAGGTGATGCATAATGCTTTATCAATAAAAACTCTATTTCTCAAGCTTTTTTTCACTCTTATTTTAGTTCAATTATATAATTGATGTATGGGAATTAGAGGCAAAGAGGAAGATAAATTAGGTTAAATTAATTTTGGTTCCTCCCGCCAATCCTCAATCAGTCCAATCTCTCTATCAAACCAAAATCACAGCCTCTTGTCTTGCCATTGTTGTATCTTCTCTTCCCCTCTTCAAATCATTCAAGAAACGCCCCACCAGATATGAATATTGCTGCTTCTCTATCTTCACTCGCCGCCCTGCGCCTTCCTGTTTGTCTCCATTGTTTCCGAACCTTCAGAACACCCATTTCCTTCCCTTCTCTATCCTTAAATCCCCCAAGTTTGCATATCTTTTCGTCGATGACTTCTTCCATTACTGCGTCCATGTCCACTTCCTCACCTCTGGCCCCCGATCTGCTCGCTTTGGAGGAGAACAAGCCCGCGCCGCCGCCCAAGCCATGGCTGATCGTTGGCCTTGGGAATCCCGGGAAGAAGTATGAACGCACGCGCCATAGTGTCCGTATGCTCCTATCTCTGCGTATACCAATTCAACTTTCTCTTTCTTTTGTACCATTTATTCTTTATTCCTTTTATATCGAGCGCTAGGGATTTTTTCATTTCTTTTTTTCTTTTTCTTTTACCGACTCGACTGACTTTAAAGGATAGGGAATAGAGGTGAATGAAGGTTGAAGGCTCACGATTGAATTCGTTTGAGTATTTGCGTGGGAAATTAAATTCTGTTTCACTGACAACTATGTTGATCTTATTTTCTATTGGGTTAACTGGGTATGTCGTTTATCGTGTGGAACCCCCTTAGGATAGGTTTCCGAGCATGCAATTGTGGTTATCTCGAGGAAATTATGATTTATGTTGATTTACAAAGCTGTGGAATGATATTTTATTTATTGCTGATTTTGTTATTAGCCATATAGAGTGTTGTCTGGATGCCCTTTATTAAGACGAATTGAAGCATGGCAGTCCATGATGCCATGATTAATTTTCCAGGTAGGTTTTGAGATGGTGGATGCTGTTGCTGTGGTTGAAGGGATATCCATGAGTAGTACTTCCTTCAAAGCTCTGATTGGGTAAGGTGTGCAGATTTTAACAAACTCGTTGTTCTTACCTAGTGCTTTTTTACAATTCTCGACAGTTGATAAAATTAAAATATCTGGTTAGAACTTAGAAGTACTATCTAACCGCTAGTTTTCTTGAAGGGTCACTTGTACATGCATAGATACATGTATAAGTACATATTTGAATAGATTTGTTTGTTCCTAATTAAATAGGTGCATGTTTTTTTTGGATAATGGATGGTAATAGGAAATGTCCCAAATTACCATATATATGTATATTGGCATTTGTGAATCAAACGAGCATTCTTTCATAGGTTTTTTCAAAGTTCTTTTTTCGGAAAGAATTCTACAAAATTTATCTGTTGTCACTAACACTGAATCAGGAACAGAACAGAAGCAGAGGCATAAGCGATCACGCTCACCATCTTTCTGAATAATATGATTGGAAAGAAATGCAGAAACTCGATGGATGCGAATTGAAGAACAATCGGCACGGGATAGAAAGGCGATTGCTGATGGGATCATGAAACGAGGACGAGGCCATCGCGATGGCGGTTCCGCGATGGTTTGGCGCCAAGGAAATGGCATACTGGAACTCCCTTGGATCTGTAGTTTCATTGCACGCCAATCAGACGCGTCGAAACAAAGTGATCGTTAGAGATCTTGCAACGCTTGCAGTTGGAATTCAATTGGGCTGTGGGTCGTGGGTCGTGGGTCGTGGGTCGTGGGCTTGGGGTGAAGCTTTCTCTCATGTGCTTACAGAAACCTGAAGATTTAATTATTATAGTATTGTCTTTTTACATCTTCTTTAAATCATTTAAATAAATGTTTTTCCTATGTTAATATAACTTTCATATCCCCACATATTTAAATATATGGGTATAATATGTATATAATGAAAAAGAGTTGGAACCTGCAATTTCAAATAGTTTGATTGGAAGCCATAAGAATTTGGTCATTTGTGAATGATTTTTATAAGTTTTATTATTATTATTATTTTCAACGTGGAAGGTAAGAATGCGTTCAAGATTGTCCCATCCATTAATGTGAAAGTATATAATAAGGTGTGTGTTATTAGAGTGTGGGCATAAAGTTGAATGAAGCTCAACCTCATCCATTCAATCCCCACCTAACCCCTTCAAATTCTACCATTTTCCTACTCTTCCTCTTATATCTTAATTAATTCCCAATATTAATTTTAATATTTGAAATAAAAAGTTGCTATTTTTTTAAAAAAATATTATTTTACTTTATTCATCAACCTCAATATTAGAGCAACATGTATGGAGGTTAAATTGTGTGTGTGTGTGTTTTTTTTTTACTTGAATATCAATCCATATAAAAAAAAAAAAAAAAAAATTTATCATGATTTTCATAACTATTAAATAAATATTTAAATTCAATAGATAAATTATTATTGTTATTTGGTCAATTTTAAAAATATAAGTTGAATATTAAAAATACTTTTAAGGTAGCTTATTGAATAAAATATATATAAATGAAAATAGTATTTATAACTAATTTTAGAATATCAAGTAGACTAAAGTCATATTAAACATCATTAAACACGTGAATAAATAAAAGAAAACAAAGTTTGTCCATCATTCAATTCAATGTCATCTTATAATATTCCAAACCCAAGAAAAAAGATTGATATTTTATACATATATATATTTCCTTTAAATAATGATAGGACAAATCTTAATAATATATGGTGTAGAATTCATTTTTTTAAAATGAATTCAGCCAAATAATTAAAACTTAATTAAATAATAAATAAATACATACATACATAATTGTGCTTTATTATATGATGACATGGGGATTAATTTATTAATAATATATATATATAGTTTAATTTAAATTTATAATCAAACTAAAAAAAAAAAAAAAAAAAAAAAAAAAAAAAAAAAAAGGTTAAATATAGGTCCATTTTCCAACATANAAATTTGGTCTCCATTCCATTCAATAAATGCTAAAAAAAAAAATTGATTTCGAAATTATACATTAATTAATGGAATTTATTTTAAAATAATGATGTAGTTAATTAAATGTTTCCTTTAAATAGTAAGGAAGAAATTGAAGAGGGTGATTAATTGATTAAATAAGAGTTTGAAAAACGAGCAATGTGTAACGAATATTGTTAGGTAATTTACATTTAATTTTCCATTCAAAGTGCAACAATATATAAATATTTGAACAACCAATGGGAGACTTATTCTCGTGAACAAACTGCGCGGAACCTTTTTATTTTTATTTTTTTTACCAATTAGAAAGTATACAATGTGGGGGCTCCACGTGTACACCGCCAAAAATTGAGTCAATCCGAAAAGTTTGACTAAGATCTGTACGAATTATTAGGGTTTTGAAAGGAAGTATTTTTTGGGGGAGAAAATAAAATAAATTCTTTCTTTGAGAGGGTGAGATGGGCAACGCACATATGCCTACGTGGTATCAAGTTTGTCCCTAGTTTACCAAAATATTTATTCATTAATTCCATTTTTTAAATATTCATATCTCCAATTAATATTCTAAATTGAAGATATTGAAAACGAAATATTATTTTAAGTAATTAAAGAATAATTCAAAAATTCAAACTATTAATTTTCGTTCACATCATAACTACATTAAATAATAATAATAATAAAACTTTTGCACATGCTAATTAATATGTCACATTACTTTAAAGCAAATGGGGTTTTTGTTTTTCACTCGCTCTTTCCTTTTACTTTCTTTTTTAAATTTCAAATATTTTTAAAATTCCGATGGCTTAGCATAAAGAAAGGAATATAATATGTTACCATTTCAAATTTAGTTGCTTCAAAAAAAGAAACACCAATTTTAAATAAAATTTTATAAATACATTTTATTTTACTTTTACTTAAACAAACAAACCAGCTCTTCCAATTTCTTAAATAATACGTTTGAATAAGTACTAGCATGTGGTTCTAATTTGCTTGAATAATGCATCCGATAATTTATTTATTTATTTATTTATTTACAAAAATTCAAAGATGAATATCGGAAAAAATGTAAAATTATTTAAAGTATAAACAAAATCTGAGATGCTATAAAGTTGGATTTAATAAAAGAAAAGAAGAAAAATTATTGATGGGACATAAGAGAAGATATTATAGTAATTTAGGAAAACAAAAAGAAATTACGGAAATATTGGGAAAAATAAAAAAAAAATGGTAAGATGGAGTGACGTGGCTCAAAAGAATATGGCGCTTTTTGAGACGGGTCATCGTCACCGGCTGGAAATATCGTGGAAAAAAAGGTCCCATTTGCCTTTTTTGGAAGAGGAAATTAAAAAAAGAAATTACGAATTTTAAATAATTTGTAACATATTATAATTTTCTTTAATTATAATTTTATTTGGAAAAAATAATTTTAATAATAATTGTTTTTAAGTAATGATTTTAGTGAGGGGAGACGTGGAAAAGTCGTCGTTGGGCACTTTCTCATCCGTAAGCGAGAAGTTAGATAATTGCCTCGGAAGACAACAAAATTAATTAATAAATTAAAAATAGTGCCTCACCTTCCAGAGGTAATTTCGGAAATGAAACAAGGGTAATTTGGGAAACGAGCTCGTATGATAATATATTTGAAGCATGTGAATGGTCCAGTTTGACCCTAACCCAACGCAGCCTCATCCGCCATCATCATCATCATCAGCATCCTCAAATTAACTTCTTAACTAAATATTCTGCAGATCCTCCCTCCTCTTCTTTCTCCTCTCGCTTTCACTCTCCATTAACCTTCTTTTAAAACTGTTTTCCTCTCCATTTCTGACACCAATCACCTCACGATCCGCTTTTATTTAATAACCCATCCCTCGTTTTTTCTACAAAATTCCCATCTGGGTTTCGTATTTACTCACTGAATCTGTGACAACCCAGTTTTACTCCCGTGTGAACTTCATTTATTCACTTTTCCATTTTCAGATTCAGATTCAGTTTCACCCCATTTCTTGTTCTTGGTTAACAAATGAATTGAAACAGAGTAAACACAGAGTATAACTGTTTGTTCTTCGCTGCTAAATCTGTACCCTTTTTCAGCTGAGATCAAAATTTATTGACTTGCACAAGGGGAAAAGGGGCTTGGTCAACGTTTTCTGAAAAAGTCTCCGCCATCTCTGGTCTTTGATTTGGCCGTTGACATCAGATTCCAGCTCTGGTTTCATATTGTTTAAGCAGCAGCCGTGGGAAGGAGGAAAAAAAAAAAAAAAAAAAAATGGTGGAGTTTTCGATATCCCATTGGGGTTGGGTTTGTTTCTACTTTTTAGGCTTTCATTTAAGATTCAAAATCTACCCTTTGTTGTAGTTTTATCTTAGTAGTTGAGATGAGTTTTCGGTCGAGTTGGTAAAAAACCCATCTCTTATTCGCCGTCTTGTCTTCAAAGGTGTTAGTCAAATCCGAGGGCTTAGGATTTGGTATATCCTCCCTAAACAAAACAGAGAAGTTTTCAACACTACAAAACTCGTCTGCTTCATAGAATCTGCCTTCCCTGTCCTGTCCTGCCCGCCCATTTGGGGCTTTCAGATTTAAGCCTCTAGACTTCCTTTAAATCCTCCACTTTTCATTCTACATTCAATTTCTGTCAGTTTTTCCATTTCTTTTCAGCTACTTCTTCCTCCTCCGTCTGAAGGGACCATTTTTGAGAAATCAGCGAGGTGTCAGAAGGGTTTGGTCTGGTTTGGTCTGGTTTGGAAGCTTTAGTTGGGGTTTAAAATGGGTGGTGGCAGAAGAAAAAGGAGGCAGCATTTCAGAAGGATTCATGCCTTTACTTGTGGAAGAGCTTCATTCAAAGACGAGCATTCTTTAATTGGAGGGCCTGGTTTCTCCAGGGTAGTTTACTGTAACGATCCAGATAGCTCTGAGGCAAGTCTTCTCAACTATGGAGACAATTATGTCAAAACTTCCAAATATACCGTTGCTTCATTCTTCCCCAAATCCTTGTTTGAGCAATTCAGAAGGGTCGCCAACTTGTATTTCCTCCTTTGTGCTTGCCTTTCCTTTACCCCTCTTTCGCCCTATTCCCCCGTCAGTAATGTTCTTCCTCTTGTTGTTGTTGTTGGAGCCACCATGGCCAAAGAGGCCCATGAAGATTGGAAGAGAACCAAACAGGTAATCCCTTTTGAAATTAGAACTGCTGCTCTAATCTGAAAGCATCTCCTTTTTCTGATTTGAACCATTACTGTATTGTTCAGAATGTGATTGTGGGAATTGTATTCAGGATATGGAGATGAATAACAGGGAGGTGAAAGTTCATATTCGAGATGGAGAGTTTGTTGAGACTAAATGGATGGAATTGAAGGTTGGAGATGTAGTTAAAGTGGAGAAGGATGAATTCTTCCCTGCTGATCTTATTCTGCTTTCGTCGAGTTATGAGGAAGCGATTTGCTACGTCGAGACGATGAATCTCGACGGGGAAACTAATTTGAAACTGAAGAACGCATTAGAAGCGAGCTCGAACTTGCATGAAGATTCCAGCTTCCAGAATTTCAAGGCTATAATAAAATGTGAAGATCCGAATGCAAACTTGTATGCCTTTGTGGGGAGTATGGAGCTGGAAGAGCAGCAATACCCCCTCAGCCCTCAACAGCTTCTTCTTCGGGACTCGAAGCTGCGAAACACTGATTTTATATACGGCGTCGTGATCTTCACAGGTCGTGATACAAAGGTTATGCAGAACTCAACTGCTCCTCCTTCCAAGAGAAGCAAGATTGAAAAGAGGATGGACAAGGTTGTGTTCTTCTTGTTCGCTGTCTTGGTTTTGATATCAATTGCGGGGTCGATTTTCTTCGGAGTTTCAACTAGAGACGATATCGATAATGGAAGAAGTACGAGATGGTACCTTAGGCCAGACGATACCACAATGTATTACAACCCGAAAAATGCTCCAGCTGCAGCAGTATTGCAATTTTTCACATCTCTTATGCTTTTTAGCTATTTGATTCCCATATCATTGTATGTGTCCATAGAAATTGTCAAAGTTCTGCAGAGTGCCTTCATCAACCAAGATACACACATGTACTACGAGGAAACTGATACGCCCGCACATGCCCGTACCTCAAATTTGAATGAAGAGCTTGGCCAAGTCGACACCATACTCTCGGATAAAACGGGGACATTGACCTGCAATTCGATGGAGTTTATCAAGTGTTCGGTGGGCGGGACTGCTTACGGGCGAGGAATCACAGAAGTAGAGAGAGCTCTTGCAAGAAGAAAGGAGTCAAGTTTACCTGAAAATCTAGGGGCCAACAATGCACGTCTTAGCAGTGAAAAACCACTCATTAAGGGGTTTAACTTCAAGGATGATAGAATAATGGAAGGTAATTGGGTGAAGGAGCCTCGAGCCGATGTAATCCAAAAGTTCCTACAGGTACTGGCCATCTGTCACACTGCATTGCCAGAAATTGATGAGGAAACTGGAAGTATTTCATATGAAGCTGAATCACCAGATGAGGCAGCTTTTGTGATTGCAGCCAGAGAATTCGGTTTTGAATTCTATGAAAGGACTCAGACAAGCATTTTGCTGCGCGAGTTCGACCCGACCTCCGCCAAAAAAGTTGAAAGGTTCGATCACCCGTCTTACTAATTAATATTTGGAGGGTCATCTTATGAATCATTCACCCAACCATATAATCACCACTTGGGTTTCATGGCTGGTTTTGCAGATCATATCAACTACTGGATGTTTTGGAATTTAATAGCACAAGAAAGAGGATGTCTGTGATTGTAAGAAATGCAAAGGGACAGTTGCTACTACTTTGTAAAGGAGCTGACAGGTTCATAAACTAACATTTCTTTTTTCCTTTTTGCCTCTGCATAAAAGAGTGAATCTTCTCATATTAATTTTTACGTTGAAATGCAGTGTTATGTTTGAAAGACTTGCAAAGAATGGAAGTGAGTTTGAAGAACAAACTAAGGTGCACATCAATGAGTATGCGGATGCTGGTTTAAGAACTTTGGTGCTTGCATACCGCGAGCTGAAGGAGGAGGAATTCAATACATTTCATCAAGAATTCATCAAAGCCAAAAACACGGTGAGCGAAGATCGTGATGGCATAATCGATCAGTTAATCGAAAGCGTTGAGAAAGATTTGATTCTTCTTGGTGCTACAGCAGTTGAAGATAAACTTCAAAATGGGGTATGAATGAATTAAGCCATGGAAAACTAAACGAAACGACTCTTATGAGTAGCTTGCCTGATTCTAACAGGGAATTAATGAACTGACAAGTTATTGATTATTTTGTGTTGCTAGGTCCCTGAATGCATTGACAAACTTGCTCAAGCTGGAATCAAAATATGGGTTCTGACTGGAGATAAAATGGAAACTGCCATCAATATTGGGTAATAAGCATAATAATCTATACAATTTTTTGAGCATCAGTTCATGTTGTTCAGAACGCTAACGGCTTATCGTTCCCGAATCCGTATGTCCTCTCTTCAGCTTTGCTTGTAGCTTACTTAGACAAGGAATGAGGCAAATAATTATCAGTTCAGAGACTCCGGAAGGGAAAGCTTTAGACAAAGTGGAAGATTCTCAAAAATCTGCAGCTATGAAGGTAACATAAATCAAATTCACAAAGCTGCTGCTTAACTATAATTTTCAGCTCAACCAACTGATGGGATCTTACTGATTCTCAGGCGTTCAAGGAAAGTGTGATGCAGCAACTAACTGATGCAAAGGCATTACTTTCGAGTTCGACCAAAACCCGGGAAGCATTGGCTTTGATAATTGATGGAAAGTCCCTCACCTACGCTTTGGAGGATGATGTGAAGAACCTATTTCTGGAGCTTGCCATTGGTTGTGCTTCAGTTATATGCTGCAGATCATCTCCTAAACAGAAAGCTCAAGTAACCATACTTCTTCAACTATCTAAACCCGAGTCGTGTTTATTCAGCTGGTGAAATCAAGAAATATAACACGATGCCTTCTGATATAAATGCAGGTTACCCAATTGGTCAAGGTTAAAACAGGAGGCACCACTCTAGCAGTTGGTGATGGTGCAAACGATGTCGGAATGCTCCAAGAAGCGGATATCGGGATCGGTATTAGCGGTGTAGAAGGAATGCAGGTAAATATGAAACAGATCCCCACTGTATCTTCCAAGTGATCAAAACAAGTTTCATACTTCTTGTTCTTTCTAAATTTCAGGCAGTCATGTCAAGTGATATTGCAATAGCGCAGTTTCGATATTTAGAGAGGCTTCTCCTTGTGCATGGACATTGGTGTTACAGAAGGATCTCTTCCATGGTAAACACTTGATCCATAAACATTTCTTCATGTTGTTAGCTTCTTGTTAAACAGAGAAAAAGTTTTGAAATATGTCGAACCGACTGCGTTTCTGTTGCGGCAGATATGCTATTTCTTCTACAAGAACATCGTTTTTGGGTTCACTCTCTTCTTCTTTGAGTTGTATGCATCATTCTCCGGCCAAGCTGTATACAATGACTGGTTCCTTTCGCTGTACAACGTCTTCTTTACGTCTCTCCCTGTGATCGCATTGGGAGTATTCGATCAAGACGTCTCGTCCCGGTACTGTCTTAAGGTAAGTCCAACGTCGCCATTTCTTATAGATGCAATCTTTTATCTACCTCAAGTACAATGTCAAATGGGTCATAGTCCTGTGTTTTGACATTTCAGTTCCCACTTTTATACCAAGAAGGTGTCCAAAATGTGTTGTTTAGTTGGGTTCGAGTTATCGGGTGGGTGTTCAATGGACTACTGAGTTCTGTGATCATCTTCTTCTTCTGTGTTGTGGCAATGGAACATCAAGCTTTCCGCAACAGTGGAGAGGTGGTTGGGTTGGAAATTCTGGGTGCCACCATGTGCACTTGTGTTGTTTGGGTTGTGAACTGTCAAATGGCATTGTCAATCAGTTACTTCACATACATTCAACATCTCTTCATCTGGGGCAGCATCATTCTCTGGTACTTATTCCTTATGGCATATGGAGCTATGAACCCAACCATATCAACCACGGCATTTCAGGTCTTCATCGAGGCATGCGCCCCGGCACCGTCGTTTTGGATCCTCACACTATTAGCTCTCGGGGCATCCCTTCTCCCATACTTCATCTACGCATCCATCCAAATGCGGTTCTTCCCAATGTACCATCAAATGATTCAATGGATGAAAGAAGACGGGCAATCAAACGATCCAGAATACTGTCAAGTAGTGAGACAGAGATCGCTACGACACACGACCGTTGGTTACACAGCTCGGTTTGAAGCATCGAAGCGGTTTGAAGACATCCAAGAATTCAAGAACCATTAGTTTGCTGATGAGATTCATTACCATAGAAAGATTTGACATTTCTCCATGGGAAGCTTCTTCTCGGTGTATATATGTTTACCCAACAGGTGTACATAAAGATTCTTTTGTTCTGCTGCTCCTTGTCAATTCAACCAAAGCGAAGCACCGCTCGGGTTCGAAGCTTTTGTAGCTGAAACGACCATATCTAACTCGTATGGTTTAAAAAAAAAAAAAAAAAAGTATTTTTTTCCTTCATGAATTCGTAGGAAATATGTTAATTGTTGTATTCATTTCAAATAATCATATCAAATGTGCTAAAGTTTCTTTACAAGTTCTTGTCACATTTTTTCATTTAGTTCTCGGTTCGCATGTTGGACGTACTGGTTCATTTCCAAATTCTCTTGGCGAAGCATGAGAAAATGTATAGGAAAAAGAAATTAAAATAAAAATACATATATATATGTAAATTAAATTAAATTAAATTAAATTATATGTATGTATATATATATATATAAATGTATGTATATGTCAACGGGGATGTAGCTCAAACGGTAGAGCGCTCGCTTTGCATGCGAGAGGTACGGGGTTCGATACCCCGCATCTCCATTTCTTTTTATTATATGTTGTGTCGTGCCCCGAGATGATATGACGGCCAAAAATGGCCGAAGAACCAACCGCGGCACTTTTATTCGTTAAGGATTTGGCGCTTTTCTACCTCCAACACTAACCACTAAATCATCACCTCAATCCCTCTCTTCTTCTTCTTCTTCTTCTTCTTCTTCATTCGCCCCTTGGTGTCATACTCTTTGTTCCAGTAATCCAGAGCTAGCGACGATGGCGATGAAGATGGCCGCCATCAGAGCTTCCGCCATTCCCAGACATCACCCTCCTCCTTCCCCATCACTTCATTCTTCCTCTCACAGATCCGATTCCAAATCCCAATTCCGTCCCATTTCCGTCGCCTTACCGGCCTCCACTACCCTCTCTCTGTTAGCCCTTTTTTCTCCTCAGCACGAAGCTAGGGCTCTCAGCAAAGACCAAATCATCTCGTCTCTCGACAATGTAAGTATGCCTCGTCTGTTCATGATTTAAAGCAAGTTGTTAATTATTCATTTATCTGAATTGCTTTGTTGTTTTTGTGGAATGGTAGGTGGAGAAGACGTTTGATCAGGTTCAAGAAATGGGTTCGAATTTCTTTGATATTGCACAACAGGTCATTGACTCTGCTACAAATATTTTGAAGCCAGGCGTCGATGCGGCGCTGCCGATCGTGAAGCAGGCTGGAGAAGAGGCGTTGAAGGTTGCTTCTCCCACAATTTCCGAAGCTTCGAAGAAAGCCCTAGAAGCACTTGAGGGCTCTGGCATTGACACCGAACCTGTTCTAAGTGTTGCTAAGGTTTGTGGCTTCTTAATTGAACTGCCAAGTTCTACTTTTGGCTGATTTTTCCATATGACTTATTAGGAAGTAGCATGTTTCATCTTATGTCAACATTTGCAAGAAGATTATGGCTCAGAATCAAGGTCCAGAAAGTATTCTTTTTCCTTTCAAATCATGTAATATTTCAGAGCCCCTGAATTTCAGTAGACTTTTCAAAGGATGAAGTTCGAGCTTTTGTTGTTTCTAGCTCATCTTGGAGTGCCAATTGGAGAATCTTTCTATGATTACTGTTTTCTTTCATCAAATCCAGATTCGCCCACCAAATATTTTCCTTGGTTGCAGACAGTTGTAGGTGCCGCTCAACAAACCGGTAAGGTCATTGAAGGTGCCACGCCTTTAGCCTCATCGACTGTCGAGAAGTTCTCTGCAGCCGACCCTCTCCTAATTGCAGAAGTTGCCGGAGTCTTAGCCTTGGCATACCTGCTTTTTCCTCCAATATGGTCTGCCATCTCTTTCAACTTTCGTGGTTACAAAGGTGCATCTACTCTCCTTTATGAAAAATGCATTACAAGAAAAAGGCAGTGGCTTTAGACTTTGCATTTGATATTTCCCGTTTAGAGTGATTGTGTTTTGATTGACCAGGTGAACTCTCTCCTGCTCAAACACTTGATCTAATTTCGTCCAGTAATTACTTTCTAATCGATATACGATCCGAGAAGGAGAAGGACAAGTCTGGCATTCCTCGCCTTCCTTCTAGTGTTAAGAACCAGTCAATTGCCATTCCGTAAGTTTTTATTTCTGTACCACACAATCAATTACAACCAAATATGTGGGCAGTTTTTGAGCATTTGCACCAAACTGTTTCAGTTTGGAAGAATTACCAAGCAAGTTGCGGGGCATTGTCCGAAATGTAAAGAAACTAGAAGCTGAACTTTCAGCCATCAAAATTTCGTATCTCAAGAAACTCAACAAAGGCTCCAATATAGTGATCCTGGGATCGTGAGTCATCTTGCCTATCTTGGATCTTCTTTATTTGTGAATCGTTTCTTTATATCATCCACCCCCATCTTTACTCATCATTCCCACATTAAATTTCTTGGAAATTTAGATACTCAGACTCAGCAAAAGCGGTTGCAAAAGCACTCACTGCCCTTGGCTTCAAGAACTCCTGGATTGTAACCGATGGGTTTTTAGGTAGCAAAGGTTGGTTAAAGAGCCAGTTAGGAACAGATACATATAAGTTTTCATTGGCAGAGATCCTTTCGCCATCCCGAGTCATCCCAGCCGGTACCAAACGTTTCGGGACGACCTCACTGACATCGGCATCTAGTAAAAAGTTGCTTCCTGGTGCCGATTAAAATTTCATCCAGTGTCCTGCTGGCCGTCCACAGGTTCCCTTCCCACGCTCCATAGGATCTGTAAATTAGTAATCCTGGACTTGCTTTTGTCTTCATATTTGGCCCCAGTTACTGCTTGCAGTATTGTATAATGGTGAAAAGGTAGAAATAGCATCATCTTAATATCCATTAATCCACTACCCAGGATCATAAACAATTCAAGAATTCAGGCCTAATTACTCTCCACAAAAAGAGAAGACAAGAAAGACTTTGGTAGCTGCAAAGCTTTTGTTTATAGCTTTTCATTTCAAACGATCAAAAAATCCTGAACAACAGGCCACACGTACATGTGGTGCAAGTAGAAGGAACTAAAAGAACATACATTACCACATGGAAGCATGGAAAGAATGCATTATGCTCGAGTCAGCCAAACCCGAACGTTTTTGGAAAAAATGCATCTATACATAACTATGATTTGAGGACTTGCGTCAATGTTATCATATAAATCTACAGAGGGAACAGTAATGAAGGAAGCATGGAAGCAAAGCATTTAAGAAGAACCATTTAATAATACTTGTAGCTGGAGCTGTTGCTTCTAACGGCGCAGCAGCCAATGCAATAGATGATAGTGATGACTGTGATGGCGCAGGAATTGAAAAGGGCAAAATTCCTCCATTCCTTGCGGATGTTAGCCAGAATTCCACCCTTGCACGACTTGCAGTCGTAGCATAGGATGTTCTGTTGGTTGCTCCAGGTGGTGCAGTCGCTGTCCTGCACTGCCGGCCCTGTTTTGGGGGCTATCCAGAACGTCGCGTTCTTGAACTCGAACCCGCAGTACGACGGTGGCTTGCAACACCCAGACTGCAAATAATTCAAGTTGGTTTAGAGAAGATTGGTTATGGAAGCTCGTTGCATCATTTTCAAATTCGATGGAATAAGAACAAGAGGCGAAGCGAAGCGAAGGCTCGGACTTTAAAAAACGATGGAAAAACTTGTCCTGTCCTCGTGAAAGTTGGAAAGATTATACATTAAAAAGGCACCTGTATGGGGGAGAGATTCTGCTTAATGAACTCAGCCTCTTGTTCATGATAATCCTCAGCAAGACTTGGGCAAATAGGCGAATCAACCAAACAGCTCCGAATTTGAATCCAATTCTCATCATTGACGACGTGGTTCTGAAGCCAATGCGAGTAATCCCCAAGCTTGTATTCCTTGAACCCCGTTCCAGACACGACCCGTCCAATTCCTCTATTGGTGACCAACAACGTGAAGATCGTAAACGCCATTAGCCCTAAAATCAGCAAGAACATCACGATCAGGTATAGAAACAGGATCGAATTGAGGCGGCAGCAGGATCCAATCAGGCCGAACAACGAAACGATGATGAAGAAGATTCCTACGATTAGAGCAGGGTCCTGAAGAACCTTCTGGCAGTCGGTGCCACCGTGGTCGCGGACGTGGACGGCGCCGAGAACGGCGATGAGGCCGATGATCAGCGTGCAACTATTAAGGAGGCTTATAAGTATGTTGCTTAAACGACACATCGTTAATGTTGTTGAAGATGGTGTAGCTGCGAAATGTGATTTGATTGAAGGGGAGGGAAATTGTTGAGGCCTGATTCGGATTTGCAGAGAGGGAGAGTAATTAGAAGAAGAGGAAGGAGAGGGAGAGAACTTCGCGTAAGGGTGGCCGATAATCACTACCATTCCTATGCATTTTCTTTAATTCATCCGCCATTGCAGAGTTGGATCCAGAATTAGAAGAATGCATGGATGGATCTACAATTAGAAGAACGCATTAAAATCAAATATAATTTTATATATATATATATATTTTTTACGAGTATTTTTTAAAACAAAGGGGTCTAAAAATAAAAAAGGAAAACACAAGGTGAAACGACGTCGTAAAGGGATGAATGGCTGAGACGCCAGGTTCATTATCCCCTTGAAAAGATCGCGGGAGGGTGGGCTCGTCTAGCGAACAGGAAACCCACGCGTCAGTAACTAAACCACTCAGTCCAAGCTCGTTTACATTTTTCTGTAAATCTGCGCCTCCAAATCACTCTTCATCCTGCAACAGTTCTTCAAGCAGAGCGACAGAGATTGAGAGTGGGCGAGAGTGGCCATGGAAGCTGCGATTTGCGGTCGACTGCCTCTTTCACCCTACCATTTCTTCAATTCCACCAGGCCAGGTATTCACACTTCTACCAATTTGCTCCTCTTAAGTTGTCTATCTCGTTAATCCAAATCTAGATGAAATGTTTTTTTAGAAATTTTTGTTCGTTGTTCAATATTTACCTCATTTCTGGCTTTGTGGACACAGAATCCGCTTATCATGCGCATGTAAGAATGATAATTTTCCAGTTCGTTTGAATTTTATTTTTTCCAAGAGGAAAACCAAGCGTTTGATTATGGGGGAAAACTACAAATTGAAGCAAATCGTGCAGAGAAAATCTGAATCTTCTTGTTTGCATGTCTGTGTGCATCTATGGTGCAGTAGTATAATGCTACTCTTGATTGTTCAGTAAAATCTTGTATATGTGACAACAGCATTCACACAACTCTTGTGTCATGGTGGATTAAAATTTCTAAATATAGGGATCAACATGAGATTAGCGAGAAAGCTCAATGACTAAGTAGAAGTTTTAGAAGTTGAATGATCAAAATGAATAGGAAATGTTATTGTTTAGCTACCAAAATAATAGTTTAATCTTCTAGTTCTCTTTCTTTTACTTCAATCTATATTATTGCTGAAAGTCCATAGACAAAAGTATATGAAGTTCAGAATTCCAGAAATTTTAGAACTTGAACTTGCATGAGATGTTTATTGAGTATTAGACATTTATAATTGGTATTTGTGTGATAGGGGATAAATACTATTTTCATAAACAATGTAGAAACCGGAGCATCTTAACGATGCTATCAGTTGCTGAGCTCGGAAAAGGTGGAGGATTGTTAGAAAAGCCAGCCACAGAGAAGACAACACCTGGCCGCGAATCTGAGTTTAATGTTAGGTATAAAACAATTCTCCTCCTCTGAATGTCTGTCGCGTATGAGCAAGTAAAGATCTGTATGCATTTGAGAACTCGAGCTGAGCTTCCAATACAATTTTGATGTTCAGGAAATCAAGGAAAATAGCGCCACCTTACCGAGTGTTGCTACACAACGACAATCACAATAAGCGGGAATATGTTGTGCAAGTTCTGATGAAGGTGATCCCTGGAATGACAGTTGACAATGCAGTCAACATAATGCAGGAGGCGCATTACAATGGGATGGCAGTGGTAATTATCTGCGCCCAAGTGGATGCAGAAGATCACTGTATGCAGCTGAGAGGCAATGGTCTTCTTAGTTCAATTGAGCCTGCAAGCGATGGTTGTTGAATAGGGAGAAGAGATTATGTAATGTACTCTCTTCTGCCCATATTAAAATATTGAATGTCATCAACTGCTACAAAATTATGTACATAAATAGAGATACTTCATAAAGAAATAAACTTCAATTTACGAATGCATGCTCATTCACTCCGGTTTCACTATTCTGTTAGTAGTACGCAGTTTTTAAATGAATATGTGCTGTTTTCCTCCTCACCCACCCCATATCCCATACATACATTAAGGAGAATTGTAAGAGTGGGGGAGGTTTTGCAGGCCTCTTTGTTCTCTCTGTTACTTAGATTGGGATAACACCAATAAGTTCAAGAATTATATTTCATATAGATTGAGCCTTCAAGAGCTGAAACTCTGCCTTCCCACAAAGTTTCCAGCTCCACTCTAGTTATGGAAATAGCTTAGAACGGTTGGGATCTATCGATCTATCTATTTATCTAGATAGAGGGTAAAGAAAGTCAACATGAAGAATTTATATATGTTTACCAGCTTCAGCGGTTAGAAAGGTGAGAATTCGGATAAAAGTGAGAAAAAACAGGGTTAGAGACCAACACATTGCTTTCCATATTAGCTTCTTCATCTTCTTGAGGGATGAGGAAGATGAAGATGAAGATGAAGATGAAGATGAAGATGAAGATGAAGATGAGAAGATGCTATTCAAGTGTATTGCAGGAGGACTCAACTTGAACTGCTCTTCATTTACTCAACTTGAACTGCTCTTCATTTACTCAACTTGAACTGCTCTTCATTTACTCAACTTGAACTGCTCTTCATTTACTCAACTTGAACTGCTCCAACCTATACATACTGCTATTATTTTATTTATTACAGCATGACATATGTACATTTCCAATGTTGAAAAAAATGATGGACTTTTATGCCAATATAATAGAAAGGAAAGAGAAAGAAGGGATGATGGTTACTTTACTAGTGAGTAGCAGAGACTAGAGAGGGTTGCCACCAACCCCAAACCAAACAAACTCAACCATCTTCCCAATTAAAATCCTCTCTTCCTTTTTAAACCCAAACCCTCCAACTCTATCTTTCACTGCAATTTACCCCGCCTCGACAATGGCGTCTGCAAGGCCAAATCAGCTACCTTTCTTTCCTTTCGCCATCTTCCTCTTCCTCTTCCTCTCTCTCTTCCCTTTCACTCTCTCCTCCTCCTCCTCCTCCTCCTCCGCTTCACTCGATGTTTCCACTTCTCTGAAACAAGCCCACCAAGTCCTTAAATTCGGCCCTAAGATTTTGACCTCTTTCCACCAGCAGGAACTGCTTGTTCCGGCGAACTCTTCTTCCTCCTCCTTCTCTCTGCAGCTGCACCCTCGTGATGCTCTTCGCAATGCCGGACATACGGACTACAGGAGCTTGGTCCTCTCCCGGCTTGACCGTGACTCGTCTAGAGTTAAATCGCTTAATGATAGGCTTGAATTTGGCTCAACTGACTTGACTAGGTCGGATCTTCAGCCGTTGAACACGGACATTCTGCCGGAGGATCTGAGCACTCCCATTGTCTCTGGCTCCAGTCAGGGGAGTGGCGAGTACTTCTCCCGCGTTGGCGTTGGTCAACCGGCCAAGCCATTCTATATGGTTCTGGATACTGGCAGTGATATCAATTGGCTTCAATGTCAGCCTTGTACGGATTGTTACCAGCAAACCGACCCCATTTTTGACCCTACCACTTCGTCTTCTTTTACTTCCCTTCCCTGCGAATCTCCGCACTGTCAAGCTCTTGAGATGTCTGGTTGTCGTGCTGCGAAGTGTCTTTACCAGGTCTCGTACGGCGATGGTTCCTTCACCGTCGGCCAGTTCGTCACTGAAACGCTGTCGTTTGGTAACTCCGGAGTGATTAACAACGTCGCTCTCGGTTGTGGCCACGACAACGAAGGACTGTTCATCGGATCCGCCGGATTGCTTGGTTTGGGCGGCGGATCACTTTCCCTAAATTCTCAGATGAAAGCTTCGTCGTTTTCGTACTGTCTTGTCGACCGCGACTCTGGTTCAGCATCAACTCTCGAGTTCAATTCCGCTGCACCGAATGACTCGGTGAATGCTCAATTACTCAGAAGCGGAAGAGTCAATACATTCTACTACGTTGCACTCACCGGCTTGAGCGTCGGCGGCCATCCACTCTCTATTCCGCCTTCTCTGTTTCAATTGGACGATTCCGGCCACGGCGGCATCATCGTAGATTCAGGAACCGCCATAACTAGACTGCAAACTCAGGCCTACAACTCCCTTCGCGACGCCTTCGTGAGGCTCACACCGTACTTGAAGAAGGCGAACAGCTTCGCATTATTCGACACATGTTACGATCTGTCGTCGCAATCGAGAGTGACGATTCCAACAGTATCTTTCCATTTCTCGGGCGGAAAGTCGCTGCAGCTGCCGCCGAAGAACTACCTCATTCCGGTGGATTCAGCCGGAACTTTCTGTTTTGCGTTCGCCCCAACGACGTCGTCTCTGTCCATCATAGGGAACGTTCAGCAGCAAGGGACACGTGTCAACTTCGACTTGGCTAATTCGGTGGTAGCATTTTCACCCAATAAATGTTAGAAGGGAAATTATAAATTATAAATTAGGGTTTTTTTAATTGCCATTTTCTTTTTCTTTTTGTTTTTCATTTTCACCCGAGATTCTGTTGGGTGTTGAGTGGCAATTATAGTTAAAAAAAAAAAAAAAAAAACAATATTATTGTCTTTTAATTTTGACAAGTTTTGGACATTCTTATACATTTTTCATTCTTTTAATTTAAACTTTTGGTCGATTCATATAAATTAAAAAATTGAATTTCAGGTAAAGAAAAGAAAAAAAAAATCAAAATTAATAAATGAATAGGGAGTGGAAGACGCTGAATAATAAATGAATAATTAAATGCTAAAATTGAGGGACTCCTCAAGAAATGATACGCTGCAACAAGGACCACGATAGCCCTCCATTTCAAACGGATGTGGGGGCCACGGGGCGCGATTGTCGGTGAGTCCCCCCAACCAACAAACCTTTTCTGCTGCCAATAATGGTTGACTCTATTTGTATGACTTTCATCTTCTTCAATCAAAGGTTAGAAATGTAAATTCACTTACTTTGACAAATACCGTTCACATTAATAATAAAAAAAAAAAAAACCCAAAAACCTTTTTAACTTTATTTTGATGGAAATTCAGAAATGGCTTTCAATTCAAGTTCCATAGACCAATAATTGAAGTAGTGGATTACCGGTGGGAAAAAGTTGGGATGAATTTGAATGTGAATAAAGATCATGCTTTATGATAAATTAGGAATCTTATAAAATTAATTAAAATGTAAAAAAGTCTTCAAATTTACAACTAAAACAAGGAATTCTTGGATTAGATTGATTTGATTACAGAGAGCGCATGGGAAATGTTATTATGAATAGGAATATATATACAAAGGACAACAATGGAGGTGGTGGTGGGTTCAGGTGAAGGTTCCATAATGCTAAAAATTGAGAAAATGCGTGAAAAAAAAAAAATACAATTTGGTCTAACCATATCGAGACATTTAACCATAAATACTAAATAAAAACTTCTAAACTAGTAGGAATCAATTTAAAAATAAATAAATAAACACAAATACCATGAAATAATTAGTTTTTGAAGCATATGACGTACATTCAAAATTATGTGGGATCCACCTGCAGGAAATCATCCACGTATGAGGCAATTCCATAGGGATGGCATTCACCAGAAACCTGAAAACACAGGCAAGACAAACATGAAGAATACAGGACGCGAATGGTTAAACTACAGAGAAAATGCATAGAGGAGAAGAAGATGACAAGACAGGCAAAGAATAGCCTCCCTCGGTGATGTCAAGATGAGATAATTAAAGCATTCCAAGTTAGGTAGAGCCGTAGAGGCAGCTTGCTCCCTTCTATCAATTCCTGTCCTCAACTTTCATCGGTCTCTTTGCTGCATGGTGGGGGAGGTTATTGGCTTCATTCATCTCTTCAAAGATCACTACTTTATGTCTTAACATATTTCAATTCAAGAGACAGAGAGAGAGGCTTCAATAAGAAAGACGATGTGATTACATTGATGGGGTTCAAAAATTACACTCATTCTCTTGTCTTCCTCCCCCATAATCCTATCCAAAGCTTTCAAGGATGTTGGTAGAAGAGTTGAAACTGGTAGCGAATGCCGCCTGTGTATAAAGCAGTTTCTAAAGCAGTTTGATACAGTAAATAAAATGGATGGGGGAGCCCTATTAGAGTCCATAAAAACGTTTAAATAATGAATGTTTTCAGCCTATTTGTTCCAGAGGTTTGTTGGTGTTGACAAATGTTGCACTTTTGTTAAACCCCTCCAGCAAAAGTATCCGTATAGCATCTACTCCTACTTGCATTGTAAAATCCAACTGAAAAGAGATTCCACTTGGATGGTTAAAACTGAGTTCAATTATCAACAAACTTGGTTTTGTGGAAATGTGATGCCATTTTACACACCTCTTCTCGTTCTTGTTTGTTGAAGGGGCGCATAACAAAGTTCGCAGCATCCATTTTCCCGGGAGGGCGCCCAATGCCTGGAATGTTTTCATTCATTTAACAGCTGATATTACATAGAAGCAGTGTGGAGGTGTTAACAGAGCCTCAAGGGACGTACCTATTCTTAACCGAGGGAAATCACGACTGCCTTTCAAGTGATCAATAATACTCCTCATCCTGCCACACATACCAAATAAACAAATTAAAAGTTGCACTTCTATGTCTTTTGCTCCTCTTATTGTTTATTCTATTACATCTTAATCATTCAATAAAAACTCGTATTCCCAGATGCTTGTACTGAGCTTAAATTATTTGATCAGGCGCACAAGTTATCTTTAATGAACTTTTACATTTACTATTACTTGGTCAACTCAAAAATTTTCCTCTTAAAAAGCTACAAACCTCGAGTAAAAATCTATATTCATATGTGGAAAAAGCATGCTTTTCTATAGGGAGGAAAACTTTTGCGGTCAAAACTTTTCAAGTAAAAGATCATACTTAGAGAAAGTATACCTTTCCTTGAGGGATAAAATTATGCAAAATCACAATCTTTCAACCAGAAATCCTTTAAAATGGAATATGCTTATCTTTCTTCTGATGGACAACACATGCAGGGTTGCCTAACAGAATAAAGAAAATAAGTAAATAAAAAATGGCATTGTTCGGATACAAAGGCTAGAAGTAGATTGGCCAAAACGCCCACAGAAACCTTTCATCATGTATTAAATCAAACGTTCCTCACTCCATCACACTTTTGTGTTTGTTGTTCTTTTTGTTTTTTTAAGAAGCTCACTCTATGCAACTTCTGTTAATAAAAATAAAAAGGCCGGGGATATTATGCAGCATGACCCTGAAGAAAACATACGAAAACCTACTACTATACCTCCTAGTATCAAGGATATTAGAAAATGAATGCCACAAAACTCAGAAGACTCAGAGACTGAGACACCCAAAATGAAGCGTTAAGCTGAATTATAATCCATAAAAAACAATTACCCATTATGTCCTCCATGGCCACCCTTTGGCAGCATCCGCAATTTGGCAAAAGGCAAATCTAAGTCATCGAATATCTGTTGAAGGACGGACCCCAATTCAAGGCTTATATGTAGGGGAAAAAGAAAGTGAATAACATAGATACCCACTCCACAGCCCAACCTCCTCTCTTGTCAAGAAAACTGATAATCTTACATGGGGAATAAAATATTTACCACAAGGACTTGCTTCAATGGAATTTTATAGTAGGAAACAATAGCACCAACCTGCAGTCAAAGGTTAAATGCATAACAAATCAATCATTGAGACCAAAGGGTAAACCTAATAATTAAAATGGATGGAGATCCTTGAGATAGCTTACTTACAGACTCACCACTTGCATTCATGAAAGTTTGTGGCTTGGCAAGCATTACAGGAACATCCCCGATGAAACCTGAAATACGAAGTAAACATTGATAGAATATTTTCACTATTGTAGCAATCTCCAGATGGAAATAATCATATACTGAATAATTTTTCCTAGACAATAACTCCTTTTTTGGGGGGAAAGAAAAATTGGTTTTTCTTGATATTTTATCTTCATAAAAGAATTCAAACATAAATAAAAACCGCGTACTCGCCAAGAGAGAATGAGTTCAATAATATCCTAGGAGTTTCCTTGGCATCCAAATTAATACGAATGCAATTAGGACAGAAATGGAAATATAAGGGAGTATTAGTAATTAGGTAAGAAGTTGTCAGTGGACATGGTTATAAATAGAGTTAGAGGGGAGATGTGAAGGCATGCAATTGTTTAGTGGCTTCAAGCCTGAGTGGTATCACAAGAGTGGTGGAAGTACCTCAAATACTTGAGAAGTAAATAGTAAGTCCATTATCTTTTACATTTCAATATATTTGGGCTCCATCACAAACATAAAAAATAGTAGGCTTAGGCTTACACGGTTGATACATAAAAATAGCTGAGGTGCATGCAAACTAAGGGATAAAACAATAAAGAAAAAAAGCATCTTGTCAAACAAACTCGAACCAGCAAAAATTGCTTATTATGGTTTGAGAATGCACAAATAGAATTTAGAAGTCAATACGAGTCTGATAACAGATAATCTAATTGTTATTTTACCAAGTTGTAGTTCATGGCCAAACCATCTCATGACAGGGATAAGGAAGAAAAGTTTACACATCTTCAAACAGGGAAGAAAGGAGTCAGTAATCTACTAGCAAGTCCGTTCAAGGCAAGAAAAGTAGCAGCTAGATGTACTAAGTTCTAACCAGATATTTTAATTTCATCAACTGTCGAGAATTGTTAAAATCTACACACCTTTCCCGATCAGAGCTTTGAAGGAAGCACTACTCATGGATATCCCTTCAACCACAGCAACAGCATCCACCATCTCAAAACCTACCTGGAAAATTAATCATGGCATCAGGACCTGCCATGCTTCAATTCGTCTTAATAAAGGGCATCCAGACAACACACTCTATATGGCTAATAACAAAAACAGCAATAAATAAAATATCATTCCACAGCTTTGTAAAACAACATAAATCATAATTTCCTCGAGACAACCACAATTGCATGCTCGGAAACCTATCCTAAGGGGGTTCCACACGATAAACGGCATACCCAGTTAACCCAATAGAAAATAAGATCAACATAGTTCTCAGTGAAACAGAATTTAATTTCCCACACAAATACTTAAATGAATTCAATCCTGAGCCTTCACCTTCATTCACCTCTATTCCCTATCCTTTAAAGTCAGTCGAGTCGGTAAAAGAAAAAGAAATGAAAAGTCCTTGGCGCTCGATATAAAAGGAATAAAGAATAAATGGTACAAAAAAAGAGCAAGTTGAATTGGTATACGCAGAGATAGGAGCATACGGACATTATGGCGCGTGCGTTCATACTTCTTCCCGGGATTCCCAAGGCCAACGATCAGCCATGGCTTGGGCGGCGGCGCGGGCTTGTTCTCCTCCACAGCAAGCAGATCGGGGGCCAGAGGTGAGGAAGTAGACATGGACGCAGTAAAGGAAGAAGTCATCGACGAAAAGATATGCAAACTTGGGGGATTTAAGGATAGAGAAGGGAAGGAAATGGGTGTTCTGAAGGTTCGGAAACAATGGAGACAAACAGGAAGGCGCAGGGCGGCGAGTGAAGATAGAGAAGCAGCAATATTCATATCTGGTGGGGCGTTTCTTGAATGATTTGAGGAGGGGAAGAACTGGAGAGGAGTGAAGTGAAGAAGATACAACAATGGCAAGACAAGAGGCTGTGATTTTGGTTTGATAGAGAGATCGGTTTGACAGAGAGATCGGACTGATTGAGGATTGGCGGGAGGAACCAAAATTAATTTAACCTAATTTATCTTCCTCTTTGCCTCTAATTCCCAAACATCATTATATAATTGAAATAAACCAGAGTAAAAAAAGCAATTAATTTAAAGAGATTTTTTATTGATAAAGCATTATGCATCACCTTCCTCATTTCCAAGGGTACACCAATTCATATAAACCGAAAACACCAAGACGTATAGAAATGCCATCGTCTTTTGCAACCCAAATGCAAGTATTACGATTGCATCGATCACTAAGCCAGTGGCTTTTCTCTGGCCAAAACACTTGACCAAAAGCCTGCCCACCTTTGCTGCTAAAATTGCACCAATATAGTGTTGTTTGCAACACGTTCTCATGGAACTTCCAAAAATATTTGTCTCCAGGCTTGATCACATGCTCGCCTAAATCGTCGTCTTTCGACTTGCAATGAGCTACCAAAGTAGAATCCTTCAGGTCATTCACAATATCCACTTCCCAGTTAGAAAATTGGTCAATCAAACTGGAATCCGATTGTGCAAAACATGAGTTAATAATCATGTTTGATTCAAAAGCAAGCAAAATGATGAAACAAAAGATGGTTTGAGACATCATTTTGCTTGCTCACTTTTCTTTTTACAACCCAATTTGGTTTTGTCTGATTTGGTTTTGTCTCATTTATATAGCACAATAGAATTAGTATACGGTTAGATTCACAAGTTGTACGATCTAAATTTTCTAATTTTATTTATCTAAATATATACAATCCTCTAAATATATATAACTAATAAGGTGTGTGGTTGTTTCTCGGGTATATATATAGAAAAGTTGACTTGTTTGAATCAAATAATGTTAAGAATATTTATGGATATTGTATTTGTTCAATTGCACCTTTAGAGTCGCGCTAACAAACTTATGCTAATTTCCAATATGATATGTATGGGCAAAACAGAAGTAGATGTAACAACACTAATTTTCTATTGAAATAGAACGGTTGTCACATGCTTGTTGTGACCTTTCTATGCGAAAACATGCATTTAAAATCATTCATAAAATCATGTCACGGACTTGAACGTTCACATTCAAAACCTTAAAATAAAATAACGAAAAGTTTGACAGATTGGAACTCGTCCTTGGGAGCTAAGGTGGTGGAGGAGGATAAAGGGAATGGTTCGAAGGAGAACACGGATCCAGAAGAGACAATAGATACTTGTAGCTGAATTCATGGAATCCCTTGTTTCTCTCTAGAGTTCGAAGTTGATCCCTCAAACCACAAAATACTCAAAGATTTGAGTCATTTAACACCAATGGACGATTATAATCTTTATGTGATTGATCCTAGAGAGAAAATGGAGGACTTCTAGCTCATCTTGTAATCATTCATGTACCCTTTTCATTTTAGTATGAACGACGTTAGAATTTTGTATCACTAATATACTTCGCTCTATTCCTAATAATTTTTTGAAGGGACGTAAACTGTCTTTGAAATTAATGTATAGTGACTTTTAAGCATTCAAGCTATAAAAAATATGGCAAAAATTGGTAACCAATCGGATTTCGTTACCAATTTAGTTCTTATACTCTTTATATTTCGTTAAGGAAATCCGTCCGTCGTAGGTAAAGGTCTGATACCAAATAATATGGAAATCACTGCAATAGGAGTAAGATTTGGATTAATATCTCAAAAGCAATTAATTCTTTAATATATAATTTAAAGACTTGATTTATAATTTAACAAAAAAAAAATTAAAGTTACGTTTCTCATTTAATTGTTGTTTCACTTGTAATTTAATTATAAGGAAAAAGAAAAAAATACAACTATGTTAAGTTTTATTTTGATTATTATCCATATGCTCGTTACATCCATGGATTGACATTTAAAGAATTAATTAGGGTTTTCATTCATAAAGCATTATGCTTTGATCGATAGTTGTGTTTGAGTTGAAGTCAACTCAACGAAAATTGAGTAAAATCATTTCCAAGGGTATATTAATTGATATGAATCGAGGGAACCAAGACGTAAGGAAATGCCATCGTCTCTCACAGCCCCAGTGCAAAAATTACGATCACATCGATCACTAAGCCAGTTTTCTTTCTCCGGCTAAAACACTTCACTCGAAGCATGCCCATGTTTGTTGCTAAAATTGTACCAAAATAGTGTTGTTTGCCATAAATTTCTTACGTAAGCTTATAAATATTTTTTTTTATCTCAATGTCATCGGGTCTAAATATTTACATTTTAGTAAAAAATTTAATATAAATTTTAAAATTAAAAAAATATTTTAAGAAAATTTGCACTGCCAAAATGATAGCGTTATAAATATAACTGTCCGGAGGAACATAGACTGGTTGTCGGCTATTGATGAAATTTTTCAACGCATGAAGTGTCCGGAGGAACAGACTGAGTTGCGTGACCTATCTGTTACGCGAAGATGTTAAACTGTGGTGGTAATCAGCCTCCCGGGCGATTGCTGCAAATGAGGATGACATCACCTGGACGCAGTTTAGAACAACGTTTCTCCAAAAATACTTCAAACCAATGGTGCGATATAAGAAGCAACACGAATTCCTAAGCATAGAGCAGGGAAACAAGTCAGTAGAGGAGTATGAACGAGAGTTTACCCGTTCGTCCCGTTTCACCCCAATAATGGTCTCAACAGAAGAGTTGAAAGTAGAATGTTTTGTTATGAGTTTGCAGCCCGATGTCCGAGGTGCGGTGTCAGCTCACCTTCCACCTGACTATGCAACAGCACTCCGACTTGACGAGACGCTAGATGATAAGGAATATCCAACAGAAGACACCCAAACCCACTTAAACACGTCGGTTGACCAGAAGAGAGAGAGAGCAGACGTCACCTATCTCCTCAAAGGTATCTTGGCACCATGCCAAGACAAATTTAAACCAAGAGCGCAGGCAACATAAGGCTTGCCCACAGAACACGCCACATGACAGACCACGTTACCTGAACTGTGGGAGATGTCACCCAGGACAGTGTAGGTTTAAGAATAGGGTATGTTTCAACTGTCACCAAGAAGGCCACGTTGTCGCGCATTGCACCCAAGGGAGAGCAACTAATACCAATAGACCCCCTGGTAACCAACCGAACTCAAACCTGAGGCAATGGAATTGCTCAAGTGATTGAGTGAATGGGAAGGAGTGAGACCGAGTTTACAGTGTTTGAGAGAAGGAATTGAATCATGAATTGGAAAGGTGAGAAGCAGTGAGACCGATCCTTGTTTACCTCCTTCAATCCGGGAAAATGGCCAAAAATGGTTCTTTTTCCCAGGAAAGTATTAACTCTCATTAATTGAAGCAACTTTTGTTAGTTAAAAAGCTAAATGGCCCAAAACCCTGGGAAAGTATCAACTCTAATTAATTTCAGCTGCTTTTGTTAGTGAAGAAGAGAAATGGCCTAAAATCCCGGGAAAGTATCAAAAAAATCAGAAATGGTCTTTACAGGAAAAAGAGTGAAGGAGTCTTGTCTCCCTTCCCTTCAAACACTGTAAACTCTCTTTCCACTTGAGTTGACTCTAGCTGCTAAGGAGCGAAGGATCTCTCCTCGAAGAGGAGAGGAGTGAAAGAAGATGTCCGGTTGAACTATTTCTTTTCTTTACTCGACTGTAAAGGATAGGATTTCATTCATTGAATCTCCTCTCATATCGGTTCATGGGCAGGAGAAAGAAGCCAGCCGAGGGGAAGGTTCCTTCCTGATTGAATGAATTTACTCTCCTCTCCTGTAAAGAAGTAGCTTGGGTCATAGAGTCCGGTTTAGAGGAATGAGTGAAAGAAGGTGTCTAGTTTCACTATCTCTTTGATTTCCTCGACGGTAAAGGAATAGAGTATAAGGAGCGAAGGGTTTCGGTTTCCTCTCCCTTCTAGTTTCGGCTTGACTTCCGGAGCTTGAGTGAAGGAAGTAGCTCGGGTCATATCGATTTCGGGGAAGGGAAGTAGTAATTGAGCAAAGCAACTCGACGAGAAAAGGAGAGGCGCCAAGCAACTCGACCGCGAGGGAGAGAAGCGAAGCAGCTTTGTTACGTGGTTGTGAGTCTTTCTCTCTCTCGACTGTAAATGACAGGTGGGTGATTGAGCGAAACAGCTTTACCGTTCAATCAGGTAATATCGGTTCAATCAGTAGGAGAAGGATAAAGAGTGAAAGAGTCTTTCTCTTGTCTCCCGGATTTCATTCATTGACTCGCTAGTAAGTAATGCTTTTAAGGAAAGGAGAGAATTGACTCGCCAGTAAGTAAGTAATGCTTTTAAGAAAAGAGGAGCAAAACGTAGCAACTCTTCAGATAGGTAGAGGAGAAAGATCAGTTCAAGAATCTATAGGTTCAGGGAAGGTTAATTCATATTATAAATAAAAGGGAAGGGGCGAAGAGCTTTACCTTGTTTACAGTTAAATCCGGAAAGAACAGAAAAGAGACCCACCCACCCCGTAAGTAAAGTCCACGCCAGGAGTGAAGATGAAGACAGAGTGAAAGAGTTGTTTTCAACAAAGAAGGAGAGGAGCGGAGCGCAGCATCGAGACGAGAAGAGGGTTTCCCGAGTTGTAGAGGCTAATGAGCGAAGAGTTGCTCGACTCGAAGAGGATCGGAGTGAAAGAGGGTTCCTGAAGTAGTGAAGGAGAAGGAATAAGGAGTCTTGACTTCCTATCCATCCTAATTACCTCGTTCAATCAAAGAGCTACTTCTTTACCGAGTTCAATCAGTAGGAGAAGTAGGATCAGTCTCATTCATCTTGTTTGAGTCTTCTTCTCCCCTCCCTGAATTTATTCTTTCACTGTAAACTCGTTCCAGAAGTAGGATAAGTCTAATTCATAAATGGGTTCGGGTTTCGGACAGGGCATATCGGTTCCGGAGCTAGCTTCTCAAACATCCAGTCTATTTACTGTGTTGGATTTCGATAATCGGCCAGGGAAAAAATATTATCGACAGGAGTTTGTTGGAAGAAAGATAAAATGCTTAAAATAAGAGAGAGA